GGGATTTTCTACATCCATATTATTCACCAAACTTTAGGAGGAATTTACTATCTTTTATTTTTCGGCATTGCATTAAAGTTTTATCAGCTTGTTCTTCGGATATCCGGTATACGCCTTTCACAGTGTTGAAAATGGATTTAGATTTAATTTTTTTCTGTGTTGATAGTTCTGTTAAATCTGATGAGGGTCCTCGCTGCCTTTTTTGATGTTTAGTTTTTATCTTTGGTGAATTGATGCGGGTCTGTGAAGGTGATGGTTCGGGCGTAAGTGTGTAGATATTTTGGAGATTGATTTGAGAATAGGCGCCATTTTTTAGGGCGATCATTTTAGAAGGCGTGTGATTTAATGATCTTGTCGTTGGAGTAGGAGCCAACTATACGGCTAGATGATTTTTTTCTTTTTTTCTTCAGAGCTTCTCTGGTTTTTTCGGACTTCACGAATTTTTCGAAGTTAAGCTCGTATTTTATTATAGCTGTCTGATTTTCTCCACGTAGCTAACCGGTGCATCACCCTTGGAACTCGTAGAATGAGTGGGGCTGTTTTTGCCTTTACCTGTGGGGACTTGTGGGGAAAGAGGACCCACAGTCTGGACCTTCCCTTTGGTTTTACCAATGACCTGCCATTCCCCCTTTCTTTTCTGCAACCGCACAAGCAGCGGGCTTATCTGGAAATTGGGGCAGTAAAATGAACCCCACCTGAGGTGCTTACCGCAACGGTACTGGTTTCTGGCTTGCCCATTAGATGCGAGACTGAAATAACAGACTCGAATTAAGCGAGATTTGCGTCGCCGGAGGCCAAAACTCTACAGGCCTTCTACTCTGGGTAGTATGAAGTGAAATAACCAGTCTGTGCCCAGTTTCAGCCGGTCACAATAATCAGCATTTTCTGTCCCACCACTTCCAGCTGAAGTCTTTACGATATAACACAATCTCAAATCTCCATTGTCTGACCAAATTGGGCTAGATAAGGCGCCATGTGCTCCCCTAAGACTTGAGGAGGAACCTCAAATACTAACCAGCCACATATTTATTTCGTAGTTTGAAATCTTTTGTGATTAGATCTAGAGTGGAGGCGTCCTCACAGTCGACAGGCGTAGGTAACAATTAGTCTCACATCACATATCCCTTTCATTTGAGTATTCTTTGAGGTTTGACTTCAACGATTTAATAACGGTGTCTTTTGTGGAGTAAAGAATTTTGCGCAAACACTTGTCGGGATCTAGACCCTATTGTATGTTAAGTTGTGTGTAGCTCTTGGCTCTCTCGAGGAACTCCGTCATGTTGATGATACACTTCAGTGGGGACTTCCAGCGTGGGGACGAATCCCAGGCCGTTACATTGCTGTTGTTGTTGTTGCTGGTCGCAGTTGGCAACCTATTTTCGTTTACTTGAATTTGGCCATTACTCCATAACTTTTTCTTTTGAATTTTGTCTTCATTATTTTCAGTAATGTCTACACTTTCCACAGCCATCGTTGATTGAGGTTTAGTCTTTTTACCTGGTCTTTTTAATCGACCGACGTTTGTCGGCCCTTTTTTATTACTTCTTTAAAAATAAATTTTTTTTCCGGAAGACTGAATTTTCATTACAGAAAAAAAACCCCCAGAAATAAGGAAATGCCAAAACAAAATAATCTTAAACAAATAAACCAAACAAATTTAAAAGAAAAAGAAAACAAGAAGTCAGACAATAGTCGGTTTAACGAAAACGTTTTGACGTGAAGAATAAAAGGTTAATTAAAAATATATACGCAAATTAAAACAAAGTTCTTCTACAAAGAGAGGGAAAACAAATTTAACCTTCTAAAAAACGAGAACAAAAATGATAGACAAGAAAGCTTTAGAGATGTAAACTAAAAGAATAAATTTACTCAAACAACGAAAATAAGACAACGTAGAAATGTTTACCTTTTTTTAAAAAATCAAAACAGCAAAATAAAACAATGAAAAAATACTACAGAAAAAATTTAAAAAATGACACGTGTAGAATAATACGGTCTTTCTAAAAAATAAAAATGACCGACAAAAAAAAATTAAACAATGAAGTAATTGAAAAGAAAAATACACTAAAAAAATTAAACTTGGCTTGCGAGTAAAAATTAAAATTTGCACACAAAAACAATGAACGACATAAACACGTAGAAAATAAAACATTAGGCAGAAAGAAAAGTAATACAATAAAAAAAACGTGAAGTGTTGAAAAATACAAGAAAACTGATAATTAAAATACGATTTACACAAAAAATTAAATTAAATTAAATCAATAGTTCAGTGAAATTATATGTTACACTAGCAACAACAACAAAAACAACTAAAAAAACGACTTAGAGTCACAGGAGGGTGAAAAAAAATTAAAATCAAAACGAAAAAGAAAATTCGGAAAACTTTCACAAAAAAACGTAAAAAAAATTAAAGATAAACTTAACGTAAAAGTGACAATTCTTAAAACACAAAAAATACAATACGTTCCATTCGTTAGAGCGAGAAAATCACGTTCTGTGCGTGGTTTCACGTGGCGAGATTTGAGCTGGTCTGTAACAATGAACAATTCTCGTACAAAAGTATCAACAAGGAAAGCTCACCAGAACAATTACCGTGTAAGAAGTGGCATAGGGAAGCTACATAAACACACAGGTAAATGGTCCTCGAAATGGTCTTAGATGTATTATTGTCATTGGTTAATTTTCTATTCATCTTTTTTCTCATTTCGATTTTTTTTATCGAAACTTTTAGATCCTTACTAATACATCTAAAAAATCAAATGGAGAAAAAAAAATGAAATAAAATGAAAAAAAGCCCCGTACAAAATGAACAATAATTGGCAATTATTCGTGTAAGAAATTTAGGCAACTTTAGACTATTATTACGAGGTTTTAAAGTCTTGGGGAATGAGATGAAAAAAAAAGAAGGATAATAATGAAAATGATTTATCTAAGTAATTAATTGAAATTAAGACTATTCATATTAGTGGTAAAAAGTAAAGGAAGTAAGTTGAAAGAAATATTATACAAAATTAATAATGTCTATATTTCTGAGATGAAGTATTATGTACATTATTTGGACTATTGTCCTCATCTTTCTCGCCATATTTATATTGCTGTACGCTCCGGCCTTCTTCCGGTGGTTTGAATGTCGAACTTAACCCTGGAGTAGACTGTTCTAGTTCTACGTGCCATGTTTAATAGATGTTACTTATGAGTTATCTCCTGTTAACTTCCCTCTGAAAGTTCTCCACTGCCTTAACCGGGTATTGAAATCACACTCTTTGGGTCCTGCCACTGGATCTAACTAACACCTTTATCCACTGTGCCATTTGTCCTTGAGGACATCTGTGTATGAATTTCTGGGTATTATAAACCTAATGTCTTTAGCAACTTTTTTTTACCAGTGCTTATATTGCAATTTTTTGCTGTTATCATTGCAATTTTAACAACAAAAATGGCAATATGATCTCTGGTAAAAACATGCAATGATAACAGCAAAAAATTGCAATATGAGCACTGGTTAGATCCAGTGACAGGACCCAAAGAATGTGAGTTCAATACCCGGTTAAGGCGGTGGAGAACTTTCAGAGGGAAATTAACAGGAGATAACTGACATCCATTAAACATGGCACGTGGAACTAGAACAGTCTACCCCAGTGAGCGAAATAAAGGATTCAGTTAGACATTCCAACCACCTGAAGAAGGCCGGAGCGTATAACGGCCGAAACGTTGTAATAAATATGGCAACAAAGATGAGGACAATAATGAAAATTAATAATAATTGACAATGATTCATTTAAGAAATTCGGACAGTTTAAGACTATTCCTACGTTGCCTAAGAAAAAGAAACCACTATTAGAAATCATTTAAGACTTATTTATTAATAAAATTATTAATGTTTGCCAATGATTCATCTGAGAATTTGGAAGATTTTAGACTATTACTTCTAAGTATAAAAGCAAGAGAAATAAGATGAAATAAATACTAGAAAAAAATTAATAATAATTAACAATACTTTAACTCAGAAATTGACACAATTTAAGATTATTACTACAAGACCTAAAAGAAAAATAAGATGAATTGAATACTAGTAAAAATATAAATAATTGACAGAGATTCATGTAATAAATTCCGAAATTTTTAGACTATTACTACTAGGTGTATTACTATCAGGTGTATTACTGCCAGGTGTATTGCTGCCAGGTGTATTACTACTAGGTGTAATAGAAAGATAAATAAGATGAATAAAATAATAAGAAGAATGAAAACTAATTGCCCAGGCTTCACCTAAAATTAATCGCGGAAGATAATAGAATCAATAATTTTGTACACATTGTAATCACCTCATTTTTATTTGGCATCACAAAATTAGCAAGAAATATAACTAAAACACGATTACAACGTCAGCAAATTTCGCTTTCTCTCTCTTGATCTTTCGAAATTCTTCGCTGAAATCTCGACACTCAGCAAATCCATGTAACAAACACTCGCAGATCATGGGAACACAATGAAGCACTTTCCCTAATTCTATGTTGATTGCATAATCGTTTGCTTTGTATGTTTATATCTTTATTGTTGCTATTTGGCTGTCCACTGTCTTCTAAACGTTCATCATTTTTATTTTGAAAATGATAAATGTTTTCTTAATTATCAATTTTCTTTTTTTATCTTCACGAAGCTTCGAGCTTTCTTGATGAGAAGAACTGTTATCATACAATGGTTTTCTATTGTTGTTGGCACTATTTTCGTTTACTATTTTCTATTTCCTGTTTTTCCCTTCCGATTCTTTTTCTTGTGTCTTTAAAACGTTATTTTCGGACAAAATGGTAGGCCTGAACCTGGCATTCAAAATTTATGTTAAGCTAATTACCTTAACGAATACCGGAGAGAAATGTCATAAATATTTCATCACCAACACCACCATCATCATCATCATCATCATCTGGCTTCCGCCACCGTCACCACTATTATATATGTAATTTCAGCCTCATCATTGTTAGAATTTTACTGGTTTAAAGATTCTTCTTCTTCTTCTTCTTCTTCTTCTTCTTCTCTGCCTCCTTTTTTTTTCTTTTTATTTTCCTGGTTCTTCTTATCTTCTTATTTTTCTTCTTCTTTTACTTCTTTTTCTTCTTCACATCCTCCTCCTCCTTTTTTCTTCTTTTTCTTTTCTTCTTTTTTTTTCTTCTTTTTCTTGTTCTTCGTTTCTTGTTCTTATTTTTCTTCTTCTTTTCTTTCTTTTTCTTCTTCACATCCACCTCTCCCTTCTTTTTTCTTCTTTTTCTTTTTTCTTCGTCTTCTTCTACTTCTTCTTCTTTTCTTTTCTTATTTTTCATCATCTTTTCCTCCTTTTTCTTCACATCCGCCTCCTTCTTTTTTCTTCTTTTTTCTCCTCCTCCTCCTCCTCCTTCTTCACTATTCTTCCTTTTTCCCTTCTTCCACTTAACTCCTTCTTGTTGTTCGTCTTTTACTTTTTCTTCCTTTTCTTCTTCTTTATCTTTTCTTTATACTTCTTTTCTTCTTCTTCTTCACATCTTCCACCACCCCCTTCTCCTGCTCCTACTTCTTTCACTTCTTTTTTTTCTTATTTCCCTTTTTCTTCTTTTCTTGCTTTCGTTCTTCTTCTTCTTCTTCTTCTTCTTTACTGTCCTTGCTCCATCATTTTTATTTTCTTTCCTTCCTTTCAATTCTCTACATCTGATAATTATTTTTCTTCATTTTAACTACAACAGAGAGCCATGTCAGTTCTTAATAAATATTCGTATTTAGTTGTTTTATAGAATTCCTTTCAGATTTTTTCCCTTTTTCTTTTTCTTCCGTTTCCTATTTTTTCGTCATTTAATCATCATCATCATCATCATCATCATCATCATCATCTCTCCCCTCCTCTCCCTTCCCTAACCGCTATTTCCCGTTGCCCTTTTTTTTCACTCCTTTACTTTCTCCTCTTTTCCTCTTCTTTTTTTTGTTCTTCCAATTTATCGGCTTCCTCTTCATTTTACTTCCTTTCCTGAATTCCCTTTCTCCCCCACCCCTCCGCGCCACCGCCGCCATCATTATCTTCTCCGCTCCCCTCCCCCGTCGCCCTTTATTTCAATTTTATGCTCGCATCTTTAGAATTTTTCAAAAATAAAGCCAGAGATGATAAGAAACCACAGGGACCACAAAGTCAGCAATTATGACCAAAAAGCAAAACAAAAAGACGGAGATGACAAATAGAAAAGACTCACGCTTAATAAGACGCACCTCTGCCTCCGCAAACACGTGCTAAACAGGAACACATAAATACGAACAGATTCACTGATACACTTTCATAAAATAAACAAGGAAATAGGCATGGGCATAACTATACGCACACTCACTTGCCGACACAAATACATTGGGAAACACGAGAGAGTTCAATACACATAACGACACAGACACACTCGCCTAATATATGTGTTTAAACTGATGAATAAATAAATAGTTGCAAAACACGGACAACTCGCGGGTACACAGTTCCAAAATAGATTGTCAATTCTATAGAAGCAAAGTAAAAATATGAAAAGATATTTGCTAATCGCATTTATGTGCAAGTTTGGAAATATAAAAGGACAATCTTGTGTCGCATAAAAATACACCAAACACATGTATATATGCACAAAAATAATACAAACTTAATGTTTATATGATTATATGTAAATCTATACGTATATGTTTTGCCGTATACACATACACACGCAAGCATACACGCACACACACATATATATACGCGCACACACAAATACACACACACACACGTACACACACATCTCTCTCTCTCTCTCTCTCTCTCTCACCCACGCAACGGAGGTGTTGAGGCCTCACACTTATACACACACCCACACGAATATACACACTTACACACATCAAACTCACTCACTCCCTAATGAACCAAATGATAACACACACCCACACAAATACACACGCTTACACATATCATACTCACTCACTCCCTAAGAACCAAATAACACACACACAAACACTAAACAGAGACACATCCCCTCACCAGGGCCACTAAAACTGTTAAACGGACCAAGGGAATTCAGAGAAGCATAGATCCATCCAGCTCTTATCTCAAATAACAACTTAAAAGAGACTGTTTGACCAACACAAGGAATGTTAAAAGATTCATGTTAAAAAGATAAAAAAAAAATAAAAAAACAAATGAAAACTACAGACAAAAGTTCATTTTCTCCATCAAGACATTCATTTCACTAGTTTACTGCTACCAGCAAGCAGAAATATTTCTTCTCCTGATGATAGCCATTTTGGCTGAAACTAGCCGAGGAATCTAAATGAAATAATAATAATAATAAAAAACGAAAGAATATTAATCTACAACCCAGTGTGTCTGAAGATTTTAATTTTTTAATATTTTTTTATTGTTCAATATATATATATATATATATATATATATATATATATATATATATATATATATATATATATATATATATACTGGGTGTAACTGCAAAATTGCCCAAGTCGTATAACGACACAGGGTAATTGTCATCCCATAAAATGTTTAATATCTAGAATCCCACTACACTAATTGAGCGTCTTTTTTCCAGGTTTTAGGTTAAGACGTTTCAGCCCCCCATGTCTTTCCAACTGAGCAATGGGGAGAGGAAAAAGATCATTAAGGCCTTCAGTAATAGTATCAACATTCATAATCTGGCTTCCAAAATACATACAAGAACAATCAAGAGAACGGTAAGTGTAAAAAAGAGGGAAAAGTAGAGAGGAAAAGAGGATCAGGTGGTCACAACACTTAGAGCTTAATACATCCTTATTGTTTAAAGTGGAGTGAAATAGTGTTATAAAACCACGGAGAATTCCACTAAGATGTCTTTAATCATTTCTAGGATAAATAGTTCAAAGCTTAATCTAATAACTGGACAATTTTGTGCTACACGATTTGGACAATTTTGTTGTTACATGCGATATATATATATATATATATATATATATATATATATATATATATATATATATATATAAGTGTGCAGGTATGCAGAAAATAGAAAAAGAACACGTTGGGTGCATAATCCGAAGTTCCTTAGTATTTTTATTTTTAAGAAAACAGTGCTCCATACAGAAGTAGAGCTTATATTATAATATTTTTTGTTTAAAAATATGATTCCTTCGCTACATAAGAGTTCTCATGTTTCAAAAACGAGAGCCGAAACCATACCAATAATTATTAAAATTAAGTTGAATTGAGGTGTTTGGTCCGTTTCATCTTCAAGCGAAATTTTCCTTGAAGATGAAAAAATGAAAATTTCGCTTGAAGATGAAACGGGACTAAACACCTCAATTCAACTTAATTTTAATAATTACTGGGATGGTTTCGGCTCGTTTTTGAAACATGAGAACTCTTATGTAGCGAAGGAATCATATTTTTAAACAAAAAAATATATATATATATATATATATATATATATATATATATATATATATATATATATATATAACTTAATAGAATTTATGTTTTAATTCTGATTTATAAGGATTGTCATGAGACATAAGAAAGATATAACCTGAGAAGAGAAACAAGATATTTTGAAGTGATTGAATTATACGAACGTAATACGAACATAAAGTTAGGCATTGCCAAAGCGTTGAACAGAGATTACAGAACCGTAAAAGAGAATAACAAGTTTAGAACAACTATGGCGCTGTAGGAATGCAGTAAAAAGTGATCTGAGAAAAGTGAGAACGATAATAAGCAAGAAATATGGATTCATCTGCAAGAAAATGTTTGAAGAAGCTGCTGTTGCCAATGTAAACAGAATCAAATTGATATAAGATATTAAATACATGAAATCAACGTATGAGGTAAACATCACAAAGAGAAACGGGTAAATTGAATAAAGTAGTACATGAAAACTGATTTGTCAGCTGTAATTTATAATGATAAAGGTAGAGCTACATTAATTGAACTCGAAAATATTCAACCAACATGACTTAGAAGTCAATCAAAGTAGATTGAGTAATTATAGGCTAAAAGTTGATTATGCTGTCAAGATAAATGCTGAAAAATAACAAAGTTCTAGGAAAATCTGTTTTTGATTGACAAGAAGTTTGAAGAGTATATTCATCCGAAACAATGCTCCTTCGTATAAAGCTATCTCATCGCCCACCTTGCCAAATATGATTTCAAAGACAATAAATTCATTGAAAAAATTTCCTAGCGTCTTCAGATATTAATCGAATAAAACTTGTGCTCCATCATTAAGAAAGATTTTTCTTTTGTTTAGCGGTATATCAACTGTTTATGGATCATTTAATGTTGACATTTAATCTTCTTAGGAGTATTAGTAATTTTCTTTACAAAAAGTATGGCTGGTAATTTTTTTAAAATTTGTTTACAAAAATTTATTGCTGGTATTTTTTTTTTTATTTTTTACAAAAATGTATTACTGGTAATTTTTCTTTTCAAAAATGTATTGCTGATATTTTACAAAAATATATTGGTGAAATTTTTTTACTATGAAAATTTATTGCTGGCGTTTTTACTGTAAAATATCTTGTTATATTTTTATAGTGTTTTGGCCCTAGTTTAACACTTTTCACATAACTGGGACCATAACAGGTGTTACCACATGGAGTTAGGGAGCAACAGTAATTATGAAGTTGTTCCACCCTCAACAAAACCTCTAATCTTCCGATCAGGTGCCTTACTGCCAGATGTAGTTTGTCGGCATACCCAGGACGACTATGTATGCAAAAATAGAAAACAATATTCAATCAAAGAAGGTTACTGGATAGAATCACTTTAATTTGGTGGCCCATCACAGGTTGGTAATGGTAACAGTACTTGAGAACATGGCACTTTCTCTACGAGAAATAATTCGTATTCATTGACCGAAATGTTAAAAGTATTCTCGTTTCAAATTTATAAATTTTTTTTCATATATCATTTTTTTTTATTATAAAATCAGATATCTCAAGTTTATTAAATGTTATTCATCTTTCTCATAATATTTTAGGAGTTTCCTTCCAATCCTTTTGTTTTTAAAAGGTGTACGCAACAATATATTTGGCATTTACTGATTTATTTTCTTTTTAAATTACATCAAGATTTTCATAAAGGAGCATTCAAATATGATTAAGTCATATTTTTTATACTGATAATTTTATTCATATATATCTAAAATACTATATTTATTCAATTTACTAATAGACTATATATGGTACTATCAAATTAATACATTAGAATTTAATTACGCATTTATAAATTAATTTATAATCAAATAATAGATATAAATATGTGAATTATTTTTTATAATTAATTATTTTTAAGGAGTATATCAGACAATGTCTATAGAAAACTGCTATTTCATTCTTTGATTTAGTAAATTTTTATTTTTCAGAAACTTAATAATATATAACTTTTCATATAGGCATAAAGAACGTGGATCATCTAAAAATCTGCAAGTTCTTGCTTTTATTAGTTTCCATTTTACTGATGGTATTTTATTTGGTTCTCTTAAATGCCAATAATATTTGTATAGGGATGCTTGGTTTCAGTACTTAATATTATTAAAGGAAATCAAATGCTGTCTCCATTTTAATTTAAATTCATTTTTTTGTACATCCTATATATTTATATTTTCACAACA